CCTAGCTTGGCCTGGCGGCTGGCAAGACGTCGTACTCTTTGTCTTACAATGCGGGTCGTACTTTTGAAGGGGGTGGGACGCTTGTGCGCGAGGAAAATGCCGGAGACAAGTCGGTCAGCAAATAAGGCCCCACATGCCGGGGGAGCAGACCGAACGAAACATATACACATACACACATACACACTCCCTCTTTCTCCCTCTCCCACCCGGGGGGAAAGGGCGGTACGGCAATTAGTGGGGACTGCAAGACTGCGACGTAGGTACCGTACGTGACGTGATGTGACGTGGGATTACTAGGCGCTGCCGCAGCGGCTTCGGGTAACAACCGACGGCGCCACCGCCGGTTGTTATCGTGTCCGTAATGGTACGGTAGAGAGTGCCGTACCATCGTACTTCACGTCTGGCATAAATCAAACCCGGGTCCCCTTAACTAGCAGTAGGAGAGGCGACTAGAGGGCATGACCTATGCACCGCTAGTAGACACACCTGCTTGGAATCTGGCCACGCGTGCCGTGTATGACATAAAAGAGGGAGTGAAGTAGGAGGAGGTGTAGACGAAGGAGGAGGCGGGATGGGAGGGGGATGGCTTGGGGAAAGGTTGCTGAACCGTGCTTGACTGCGTAGTCTCTGCTCAGGGACGATGAAGACTGTCGTAAATACGTACATCATATCGTACACATCTGCACGGTGGCTGACGATTGTTTGGTTGTGTTCACTGTAACGCGATTCTTGAATGGATGAATTGACCGATGGACATCTTCACTTCATGGTGGTGACGTTGGGAGATGGGCATGCCGACGTATTTCGTATCGCATTGGGTACATAAAACGTGGGGATGGACTTCGAATTATGTCCAAAGGCGGATGCTCAAAGGTCAATGCAAAAGCCCTACCGATACGAGCGAAAGCTCCTCCACAGTTCTGATTTGGGTCGGAAGGTTTCCAAGGGAAGTTAGCTTTTGAGAGCTGCAGCTTAGCGCAACAGTTTATTGGGGCACGGTCCTGCTGTGTCTACCCCCTACTCAACCTACTGAACATGATCAGCCTGCATGTCTTTGCGGGTGTGTCGTCGTTGTGTTGTTCAAGGTGATCTCCTTGGCCCTGGATGATTCTTTGTGTGTCTCCCGGAAGCTTAGATTGCGGGATGTCCCTCACCCAGCAAGTTTGTTGTGGACGTGTGGAGTACGGCGTGTTGCGCATGGCCCCACAATCCTAGAAGGGTGGTAGTTGCGATTGGGCAATAACTGGACTGCCACGTTGTTTCTTAACTATGAGCGGATTCAAAGGGTCGGGAAATTGGGTTCAGCTGTCTGCTGGCTGCCATCTGTTGGCTGCCAAGACATAACTACGGTCAACACGCCGTACCTGTACGACATATCTGTAGAGAAAACGGCGCCAAAGGTAAGGGTAGTGTGCACCGTGATTGCAGACCCCGGTGTGATCTGACAAGCATAAAATACGTCCTGAAGTTTGGAGCTTAGTTCAATTTTATATTACAGCTCGTCGATTGTTTTAAATCCATTGCTTTTGTTGCGTGTACTAATCGTGACTTTGATATTGCCTGTTGTTTGGCATCTTTACTACTACCCTAGCTTTGGTGGGATTTCCTACGTTCGGCGAGAATGTGCAATCCGGCCGGTAGGCAGGCTCGCTAACCTACCGTGGAAAGCCTTAAACGGAACAGTTATCTGATCTTCAATTTGCAAGATCACTATTAGACAGTCTCGCCTGTAATGGTGGTGGGCTAATACGCTGATGGCTTCCTTCAATCTCTGCAGGCTGCACGTTCTGCACCCTCATGTCGGGCTTCGGAGCCTTTTTCATGTTCCTTCTAGGCATCTGCATCAGCAACAACTACGAGTAGGTGGTTCAGAGTCCTTTGCGTGGGTAGTGTTGGGCTGATGCAGGTCTTTCAAGTCGTGGCGTCAGTATAAGGCAAACCCTGCAGCAGCCGGAGTGTCGAACTAACTGTCTCACGTGTGGGCTGGGAATTCTAAAGCCTGGACAGCTTAAAATACCAAATGCAGCTTGCTGCATCTCCGTCGCATTTGCAGCATAGTTGGGTGCTTTTCTGCGAGGGGCCTTTTGGAGAAGCATGCCTGGAAGGCCGAATATGCGGCGGGGAGGTTGCCTGGGGTTCGAGCAGAGGTGCTCATGTGGGGTTAAACAGGGAATGCGCACTGTACTCGAGCTTTGGGTTGCCACACCCCTGACGAGCAAAGCTCAAGTATCCATACGTCCATGGATGCCTTATCATGGCAAATCGACGTGGGCAGTACCGCTGCCTCGTTGGTATCATCTTTTGCATACCGCTGTTTGGGTTAGGGTCGATCGAGTGTTAAGTCCTAAGCATGAAGGTACTGATCCAAGACCTGCAGGGGAATGCACGTGCCTGAGCTGCACGTGCTCGGGTATTTGTGGGCCATGCCGGTTGGGGATAACGGCCCGGGTCATCTGTGTGTTTTAGCTGCGTCCCGACTGTGCGCCTTGCTTGGTGCCATGTCGAATCAGGCGCAGTTAGATTGATTTAAGCTTGGGAGTATCTTTATTTCATTTGCTTGTGGCGAGTCCGATTGGAGGCTTTCGTTTGACTGGCTCTACACCTCTTTCACCCTCCCGCCCAATTACCCCTAGATATGTTGGCGAATGGTACAAGCCTGAAAAGGGCCGAGGCTCGCCGACGACGGATCAAATTAAGGAAGCGGCAAAGAATTGCTTCATTACGGGAGGCGTTTACATCGCGTTCACTATCATGGTAAGTTCCACAGTTTCAAATTCCGCTTCATGGTTAAGAATCTGAGGATACGTAATTGCGTTGTAGACTGTTATCTTGTTTCCGATGAACCAGCATGTCCAGTATTTTTCGGTGGTTTCGGGACCACAGTAGTCCTTCGAATGCTCAATCGTCCACTTTAACCTCCCGCCGCCCTCTTCCTTCACAGGCGGCCATGTGCGTCTGCTACCAGAATAAGAAGGCCAAGCGGACGTAGCGACATGAGTACCTGAGCACAGGCGCATGTCTCCAATTCGGCACATTGACGGCAATGACCGCTGGGTTGGCCACGGACAAGGCGTCTTCGTAGCCACACGCGATTTGAGTGGTGCTGTGCCGGTGTGTTAAGCCGTGACGAGGCCAAGCATGGCCTCAGCCAGGGTAATGAGGGGTGTAAGCGAGCCCCGCCGTTATGGAAATACGACCGTGTGATGCATGCATTGGGACGGCTGTGGCTTCAGCGATCATGTGGCCCTGAAGCAGGGAACAACATCCAATTTTCGGTCAGCGCTTTTGCTGCCATGGCGGGTCAGTACCGTAGTCCGCACGGCTGTGGAAAGCTGCACAGCTGTGAACAAGGGAATCGGCTGTATATGCACACAATTTTCGGCTGGATGACTTGTGCATTTTTTGTAGGGTGCCGTGCTCTACTTCGAGAGTACAAGAAGGTAGTGTGGCTTCTGTAAGGAGTGATCTATGTTACTGCACATCCAGACCTCCGGGGAACCGAAGGGGGAGTCTGTGTCCATAAAACAGCAAATAGCATGTCAAACTGCTAGACAATCTTTATTGTATTGTTTAGCGGCTTCCGTTCTTCCGAGATTGCCGACACACTTTTGTCCACTCGTATCTCACATTTTACCTGGTCAGCCAGTTACCCGCCAGGCTGGTACGGCAGGCACGAGACGACAAACAGCATCTAGCAAAATCTAAGCCGGTGGGTGCGGCAGCTCAGCCGGCCGTCCCGTCCACAAGTTGAGCTGTATCACTGCTGCTGTTGCGTGGGCAGACGGGTGGTCCAAGCACACTGCGCCAATGCCCGCCAGGCCGTCAGCCAACAGGCGCGGCAGCTCCCGCGTTTCCAGCTCAGCTGCCGAACGGCGCAGTCCCGTACAGCAGGGGTTGGCCAAGAAGTCGCGAAACACGCTGCGTGCAGTTGGTGTAACGGCGGCACTCAGGTACCAAAAGGTCGCGTCCCGCAGAATCCTGCCATCGCGGCGTAACTGGGCAACCATGTCCAGCAGCCCGGTGACAGTGCCTTCTACAGTGTCTCGGTTGGCCCACACGCTGCGACAGCCCACGCTGACCCAGATATCCTCGCTTGAGTCTGTATGTTGTCGGGCCAGCGGGCTACGGCCGCTGTGACATGGAGCAGCTGGCAAAGCGGTACGATCAAGCGCGATAGGGAGCTCCTCAACAAAGGCGATGAGCCGACGGTCGATTGCGGTCATGTCGGCCAATTTCGGGAGCTGGGCTTGGCGGGGATATAGATAGCCGCGGCATGTGCTGGACAAGGTATCTAGGAGCGTGTTGGAGAGGGCTGTCGTGAATTGCCCGCGGTGGGGCCAGTCCGGCCGTACCGACAGCACTACCACTTCACCCTTGCTTTGCGACAGAAAGTCCAGGATGTCGTACAGGACAGTCTTAAGCGGCACGCAGGCAAAGGTGTGCGAGGCCGTAAAATCTTTCAGCACATCGTCCCATGCCACACGTACATCTAGAAAGCGAACGCCTGCTTCTGATAGCTGACGGTAAACGCTTAGATGTTGGGTCAGAGTCCAGGGTGCAATACATGGCCGCGCAAAGCGCGCCAGTAGGCTCAGAAATTTGTTGCGCCGATTCACACCATCTACAGCAGCGAGCGTGTATGCTGCCGAGTCGTGAGTCCCAGGTAATAGTATATCACCCAGATGACGATCGGCAAGGGTGTCAAAGTTGTCTCGCATCCACGAGTCCATCTTCCGACACGTACAACTTTTCTTTCAGTTCAAAATGAAGCACCGTCGTTAATCAAGTACATCTAAAAGTCAGGGCACTGATTAAATGATATAAAAGCAAAGAAATCATGCAACCAGACCGCATCCACGTACACACATTTGTGTGACAAATGATCGTTCACTCAGCATCAGTACCGTACACAACGGGTCCCATCATCGACACATAAGGTCCATCAGGAAAGTCGACTGCCACCACATCCACGCAAAACCAACAACGTATCCGAATGGAAACACCTACTGTTCCGCATCGGCAGCTGTTCTAGCGCTAGCGTCCGAGCAGCACAAACCCTCCCCCACCCTGCGGTTTGCTGCTGCCTTATTTCCGCTCGTTGGCGTGCCTCCCCACGTACGACTCCAACAACGGCATGAGCCTGGGCAACGTCTCCGGGATGCCCGCTACGAGCTCGAAGTCCACCACCAGCCCCGCCTTCCGAAACGCCGCCTCCACGGGCTTTGATTCCTGCTTGTACACCTGGCGAAAGCACACATACATACACAGTTACACACTCATGCACTTCGTCAAGGAAGATGTTTAGACTGGTAGTCACCCACAGTCAGGTCATGTCCCCCTTTCCCTGGCGCATCGGTCTTTCCTTGGCATCAGATTCACTCGCTCGTGGTTCGTCTTTCCCCTTTCCCCACCCCCTCCCCCTCCCCCTCCCCCTCCTTCGACATGACAGCTCCCCCCACCGCACCATCCCCCTTCAATCGGCCTAACCTAAACTTCCTTTCTCACCTCCAACCGATGCCGAATGACCTCTTCCCGGTCGTCCGCCCTCGTCTCCAGGTGCGGCGCACACTCCGGAGGGGGGCTCAAAGGCGGCATCACAATCTCAGGTCGCCCGTCCGCGCTGGCTGCCAGGTGGATGTCCGCCACGTTATAATTCTTGCCGCAGTGGCGACAAAGCCGACGGCCTGCACACGCAGAGGGAGTAAGGGAGCGGTTTCTATGCGCACGCGTGTGTGTGTGCTAATCAACTGAGCCGCGGACAGGAACTGGCGCACAAGAATCGCAGTGGGTGTGGGTGTGGGTGGGTGTAAAGGGGGGGGGGGGAAAAGAGGGGAGCAGAAGGGGGGAGGGTTAGGAAGGGACGAAAGGCTGCGACCCAATGAACCACAAATAAGAACCATGGGTCATGGGAAGATCAAACCTGCCAGCCACCTCGCCAGTTCTGCCGTACACACGTCTGGAAGAAACCCTAAAAGCAAAATGACCCACCCTGTAACACAGACATGCGCCGTAGACCCTCTGTGTTTTTTCACACCGCCACCCCGCCACAAATCAACCCAGCCATCCAACCCTATCCAGTCACCCAATACCACCCAAGCTCCCCCCACCGGCCTCTTTCCCCCCCCCCCGGGCACCCACCCATGCACTTCTCCACCAGCACCTCCTCTCGAAGACTCAGATTGAGAACCAGTCCGATGTCGGTGGACCGGAGCAGCTGTTCCGCCTGGGCCCCGTCCCGATGAAGAACGCAGTGTACAACACGGCAGATAGAACACGGCAAAACACAGCATAAGTTCATCGCAGCATGGGGCAGTGCAGCAACGCCATCCGACTCGTAGTGCAGGAAAGCACCAAAACGGCACTTACAACAATCTTAGTTGCGGGCGGCAGACACACAGCGCACACCCGCACAGAGACACACACACACACACACCACACACCGCACAGAAGCATATGCAAACGGACACACAGACAGACAAACGCAACCCGCAAACCCTCCACACAAACACATCTTGCAGCCCTGCAACCCGCAGCACCGGACCGGACCGGACCTGACCTGGCTCTCTCCACCCCGGCCCGGCCCGGCACGTACCCCGGACATTGTTTCGGACCTGCGGCTTTTCCCCCGCCCTTTTCCTCCATCCCTTGTTCCTTCCGACTTCCCACCTGCGCCGCAGTTCTCGGGTAGCCGTCCAGGATGAAGCCCCGCTCACCCTCCTGTCGGCCGCGAGCCAACCGCTCTTGCAGTACCTGTGGGGAGAAAGTTTAGGGGTAAAAAGGAGTCAAGCGTTGAGGTGTACATGTGTGCGTGTGTGCATGCGTGTTTAGGAGGTGAGGGATTAAGGAAAGAGATAAAAGCGATCCCAACGTGATGAGAGGTAGGGGAACGACGAACCACGAGCGAGCGAAGGGGGAAGAAGGGGAAAGATGGAGGAATATATGCAAGAATGCAAAACTGCCGATGGTAGCGCGACTATTATAGCGCGGCTGTTGGTGATTGTGCAAATGAAGTAAATAAGAACCGATGCTGATAGCTGCTACAGATCGAATAGGAATAGTTTGGTAAATGTGAGCCACGTCGTGTGGGTAGGGGTGTGGAGGGCCTGAGGTCGAAGGGAGGGTGCGCGGTGATTCTCTCCACAGGGTCCGTCTCACCCGCTGCACCATATCACAAGGCAGCAGCTTGCCCTGGTTGACGATGGCCTTCATCTGGGGGTGGAGGAAAGGAGGTGAACGGTAAGGGGTTAATCTCATGAGGAAAGAAGCATAATGCTAGTAAGAACGCGTAATGGAAGTAAAAGCAATGTAAACAGATGCAATTATGTGTACGAAGCCATGGATCATGGGGCCAAGGGGGTTCCGGATGCGTGGTCACGAGCGCAGAGGTTGGGGTTAGTGCTTCGTGGCAGGTGCGAGCGTGTCGAGCACATGCGTCTTCCACTGGGGCAAGGGGCACGTTTGAACAGGGCTACTTGGCAAGACGTATAGATCTCCAAGACGTATAGATCTCCAATACAGGGTGTTGGGTTATGGGTTTCAGGGAAGCATTCATAACTTTGCGGAATTCCGCTTGTAAATACCGAAATCGTACCTGCGCCCCCAAGCTGCTGCCGCTCTTGATCTCCGCACGTATTAAGTCGCCCGTTGCGATGTGGGGAACACCAAAGGCTTTAGCAACGCGAGAAGCGTAAGTGCCTTTCCCGACTCCGGGCGGTCCGAGGAAGACCCAGTTGATCGATGATGGCGCGGCTTCCGTGCCAAAGCTCGCCCGTGCTCCGTCGCTTGCCAGTCGGTCAAGAGCATTTTTTAGGCTGCTAACTGCTGCAAAGGTTGACAAAGGAAGTCTCCATCCGCGGTGCAGAAGCGCCGCCGACGCTGATGTCATTGTGATGGTTCAGTTGACTCAGGATCACGGGATGCCTACTAGCACACGCCAATTGATGCAGGTAATTAATCACAAAACATGTGATGCTATAAATTACTTTGGGTTGCGTGGGACCTTGGTGCGTTGCAACCCTAGTGCCAAAAAACAAACGTCTAACGTTCCCCAAATGCCGTATAAATTGCACCTATCTCCCTTCCAAATTTTTGGCGTAACTTAGATTGCTTGTTTGCCTTCTACTTAACCTTTTTTCTGGAACGCGAATGTCGGCATTGCAGCAATCCAGTCTTAGTCGCTTGCTTGTCGGCGCCTGTCGCCCGCAGCAACGTGCTTTTGCGGTTCCCTTATCCCATACCACTTCCTCATTATGCGTACGTGGCAAAACTAGCACAGCCTCGGATCAGACGCTGCCACCACCGCAAGGCCCGCTGGTTGGCGTTAAGGTACGGACATCGAGGTTGGTCCAAGTGCAATCCCACGCATAACTCGCCTTAACAACGGTAACATCAAGTATGCGGACTTAAGCCTCTAGGCAACGCAATATGAAGCTATTCTTCCCGATGTTGTGTTACGTGCCTTGGCGCGGATGGGTTGGGCCCAGTCAAACCTGATGGGAGAGCGCTTAGGCGGTCTTTCCGTTGGGGCTGCCAGTGTCAGGCCCGGTCAGATACTTGTAACCTTTACACACACACACACACGCACACACACGCACGTATACGTACACGGTTATAAAAACCCAAATCCGTACACGCAATCGCGCGCCCAGGTTCTCGATCTGGGTCAGGTGGTGGCGGGGAACTTCTGCGGGGCTCTGCTGGCGTACTTTGGGGCTGACGTCATCAAGGTACGACAGGGGTGTTTCGCACTATTATGTGATCGTGATCGCGCGGCCATGCTTTACCATTAGTAAACTATTCGCACGCACATCTGTGAGCTACTCGGTCTAATTATAAGGCCCCCGGGGGGAGGGGGGAAAAGAGTTTTTGGTTAAACTTATACTGATGCTGCATCCCACCCTATCAACAGTGGCGGCTTCTTCGTACCGTACCCCTCTCTGGCCTTCCACAAACACATGAACCGTCCCCTCCCCCCCCCTTTCTTCAGTGTGGGTTATCTTTCCTTGTCCATGAAGAGTTTTCCTCTCCCATTGCCCCTTTCCCAACCGCCTCCTAACCGTCCTCTAACCGTTAACCGTCCCAAGGTGGAACCGCCCAAGAAGGGAGACGCGCTTCGTTCCCTCCGTACACTGGATTCCGGCGGGACTTCGCTGTGGTGGCGATGCCATGTGGGTCAACAGCGGGTGGGGGGGTGGGGGGGGGAAATGGTCGTGTGGGTTTTGCCGTATTTGTTTTGTATTGGAAAAGGTAAATTGTCCAAGTATACAACGGGAGACGGCGGGGGGTGGGGAGTGAAGGAGGAGGGCAAGGAAGGGGCGTGTGGGTTAAACAGTATGACGTATTTTGATACTTGGAATAGGAACCACATGATGTACGGCTGAGCCGTATTGCAAATGTATTCAAATGTCCGGCCCATCTACTCTACGCATCGCCTTTGTCCCCTTTCTCCTTATGCACCCGTATCCGTACATAATTCCGTACAGGGTCGTAACCGCCGCTGTGTGACCATTAACCTAAACGTGTCGGAAGGGAGGGAGCTGGTGAAACGGTGTGTGGGGGTTGGGGGCTGCCGGGGGGGAGGGAGGGCAGTCAGGGGCATTAATCGGATTGCGGAAGGGGGGGACAAGCATCTGCCTCCCTAGGGTTTTGAGGTTTTTTCCGTGTTTTCCGGCTGGGAAGGGTGGGAGGGTGGGTGGGTGGGGGTACAAAGCCGGGTAAGAGGGAGGAGGAGGATGAGCGTACGGCAAGGAGGGGCGA